GCTCACCTCAGCCCCGACCTCCGCCTCGCCGCGGGCCCCGGCGCCGGCCCCCGGGACCTCCGCGCCGCCCGCCGCGCCCTCGGACTCATTGACCAGCGACGACTTGAGCTCGGCCAGGTCGCGCTCCGGGCCCGCGGCGCTGTCGCGGCTCTTGTCGTCCTGCTCCTCGCCCTCGTCCTGGAAGGCCAGCAGCTCGTCGGGCGCGCCTAGGTCGTCGCCCCCGCCCGCGCCGCCCCCGCCGGAGTCCAGCTGCGGCATGGTGCGCTCCGCCCGCCCGGGCGCGGGGCGCGAGAGTGCGGGGCGCGGAACCGGCCCAGCAGGCGGCGAGCCCGGAGTCCGGACCTCCGAGCCCGAAGCGCGGCGGGCGGAGCGCGGACTGACTACGCCTGGGCGAGCTGCGGGCGCGGGGCGCGGGGCGCGGGGCGCGGGCGCCAGGCTGAGCGGCTCCGGGAGCTGGCGGGTCCGAACATCAAAGGCGCCGCCGGCCGAGCGCGGGGGGCGGGGCGGGGACGCCGGGGGCGGGCCCTGTTGGTGGGCGGGGTCAAGCCGCCCCGCCCCGCCCCTCCTCTCCCCGAGAGGCGGGGACGCGAGCAGCGCGCACAATCTTAAAGGGCTCGCTCTCCCCGGCGTCATTCTGGGAGGCGTCCGGCAAGTTTGAAAAGCATCACCCTTCTTCCGAAATATGGGAACTCTAAAGGAGACTCCTGACCCCGCTTCCTCACCCACAATAAGGGATTCCCGCTCTGCGCCCGGGTTTCTCCCCCAAGTGCCAAGGGAGCGGGTCTCCTAGGCCCTGGGGCGGGAACTGTAACGCAAGCCAAGGTGTAATCGCTTTGGCGCGCCGGACCAGTACGTCCAGGGCCTGAAACTGGGGACTTTCTAGAGGTGGGAGGCTGTTCGAGGCTGTGCGCGAACCCCGCCTGGCCGGGTTAGGATTCCTCAAATTCCCGGTCTCTGCCCTGTTCTCCAACCGTAAGCCGACGTGGGACCTCCTTCCAGGCTGCCCAGATACAACGCGAACACAAGCATATTCCCCTCACACATTTATTGAGCGCCTGTTGCATGCGGGGCTCATGCATCACACATCTGCCATGTGGCGTCTCCGAGGCTCGAACAGAGCCAAGAGGACAAGGAGGAAGGATCCCCCAAACCCCGTGAGGATCCTTCAGCCACCCACCCCCTCCCTCCCTCCCAACTCGGTTCTACGCCTAGAACCTGCGGCCCAGGGATGCGAGACTTTGGGCAGCCACGTGGGCCACGGGATTCCGAAGAGGGGTGGGTCGTCAGAGGCAACTCAGCACGGGAAGTCGCATTCCCATGGGGCCAATTGACTCGGAGCCTGACGACCGCGGACTCTCGCAAGATCCAGGCTGCAGGCTCTATTAGAGCCAGGGAAGCGCGGGAACTTGCGCCAGCTTCCATCACGTCTACAGGGCACCCGGGGTCGTGTCCACGCGGGCCTCCACAGCACGCTTGGCCTCCGCTCCACCACTGTATCTGGGAAAGACACAGGTCCTTTAGGATCGCGGCGCAGTGAACCGCAGCCCCCCAGCAGTTTTCTGAGTTGGATTCAGTGTAGACTTTCCCATCTCTCCGGAGAGCACAGGGAAAGAGGGTATTTGGGAAGGAGGGTGTCTTGGACGCCTCTCCCGCTCGGAGCCCCACGGGACCCCTGGCCGCCGAGCAAAGCCGGGCCGGAAGAGGGCCGCGCCGCCCCTCCCGGTCCAGGCCCAGCCTGGTTGGCTGCGGATCAAAGAGCCAGGGCCGTCCTTCTCAGCGTTCAGATCCTATCTGCGCCGGCTCAGCGGGGCGGCTCGGCCTCCTACTGCACCGCTGCAGTGCCCACTTTTCCTCCCTTCCGGGGGCTGGGGGGTGGGGGTTACTTAGCGCTCAGTTTGGCGATGGAGATGTGGAGAAGATCTTGCCCATTAGGTTCCCCCAGTCTCCTTTTCTGAGCGTGAGCTTGCTGCTGAGTCTCACTTTATCGCCACTGGACAGTGGTGGTGGTGGGGAAATCCAGCAAATCTTAGCCCAGTAGAGAGGGGAAAGGGTACAGGAGGAGGGGTTCATGCCCTCCCCCACCTCAGCCCCTGAGGTTATAAGATCTGACTTGGGACGAACCTCCTCTGGGAAAGCTGAATGGGAAGATGGATCTGCCTAACTCAGAGGTTTTGGGGGTCCTCTTGCCTTTCAGGGTGACCCCAGCTTAGCAGGCACCTCCTCCAGGATAAAGGTCCCCAGACCCATGAGTGGACACAGGACAGTGGGGGTTGTTTTCTCTAGTCCATGGAGAAAGGAGAGAAGTCAGGGCAACAGCGAGGTGGTTTGTTTTTCTCAATAAGGCTGAATTTTTTCAGCTTAAAGTATTAGCTTTTAATCAGAGATTATGGATTTTCTGCTTTATTGGTGTAAAACAGCCTTTCTTTACTAAAATAATGGTGGAAATTGATTTTTTTAAAACGTCCTTATTCGGCAAGAGAAAAATCTGGCCATTCTATTCGCTCTCCCACCCCCAAAACTCTTTGGACATTTTCTAGGGCTGTGAAATCCCAAAGTCTGGGAACCACTACCCTACAGGATCATGCCCTGCTGGGTGGAACCAGGGGAGGAGGCAGGTGAGCAGGGAGAACATGGGTGTGAGGAAGAGAGGTAAGGGAGGGAGAAACAAGCTGAGTACCAGACATCTACAGCCATACTGAAATCAGCTTGAATGCCTGCTAGGGAGAATCTCCAGTGTACCTAACCCTGGACTCAGGCTGTGGAGAGGGGAGAGGCAGTGGTGGGGTTCCTGTTCTCCAGAAGGCATTGTCTGCTTGAGAAGCTGAGAAGTTATTAGAGCCAAGTTTGTTGGTTATTAGTCTATGCAGACCATCGGCAGAAGGAGCTCAGATATGGTGAAATCAATGTGGCTGAAGTGATCAGGTGGGCTTCCTGGAGGAGGCAGACTTCATCTGGACCTGGGAGGCTCTGTAAGGTTTGGAGAGATAGAGAAGAAAAGGAGCTCAGGCTTGTCCACCAAAGGCAGGTGTGCCCTGCAGCAGCCTGTTGTCTGGTCAGCACTGATTCCATCATCCTCATCCTCATTATCACCTGCAACATGACTTCATATTCCTGAGTGATTGCTATGTGCCAGGCATCATGTCAAGAGCTCCACACACATTATCTCACTTAATCATCAAACCAATTCTGTGACATTGGGACTATTATCCCCATTCATGAATGAGGAAACAAAGCTCAGAGAGGTTGAATAAGTCACAGGATCTCACAGCTTAGAAGTGAGAGTATCAGAATTCCAAAAACTTGACAGTCTGACTCCTGGACCTGCACCCTAACTACCACCACACACTCTAGTGTTCCATCATGACCTCTAAAATTCCAGAAGGGGGTTCTTACCTGCTTTGTGGTCTCTGCAGAAAAATGCTGATGAATGAACTGTGACTAATAGAGTCCTGACTTTCCGAGGGGCTCATGTTGCTTGGAGGGACCACCAGGAGGATTGGGGAGTCTCTCTTGTTGGTCTGTATAGGGTGGTTCAAGCTCTTTGCTAGATAGGAGGGCCCAGAGCATCTCCCTTGAGTCAGACCTCAGTCTGTACCACCTCTGGGCCCACCCTGGACTGCCCGCTCTGGGCACCAACTCAGATCCCATACAGTCACTGTGGCTCTGGGGTTCTTCCCCAGGGTGGTGAGTGGGATCTGCTGCGGCTGCCCTTCTGGAGGTGACCAGGCAGTTTCAGGATGAAGGCCAGAGTCTTCTGCAGGAAGGCCCCAGAGTCTTCTGGACCCATGAAGTCCAGGTCAGAGCTGAAGATTTATTTATTTATTTTTAAAGATTTATTTATTTGAGAGAGAGAGAGTGTGTGTGCACATGCATGTGGGCACATGCACATGCATGTGGGCACATGCACATGCAAGTGGGGGGGAGGGGCAGAGGGAGAGAATCTTCAGGCAGACTCCCAGCCTAGTGTGGAGCCCGTTGGGAGCTCCACCTGGGGCTCGACCTCACGACCCACGAGATCATGACCTGAGCTAAAACCAAGAGCTGGACCCTTAACCGACTGAGTCACCCAGGTGCCCCCAGAGCCGAAGAGTTAATGAGGCTTCATCTTCATGCACGTGAGCCACAGGTGGACATGTAGTGTCCTCGGAGCCTGGACACAGGACAAATTCAGAACTCACAAGGGTTGAGGGTCTGACCAAGAGAGCTCCAGCTTTAGATTTAGGTAGATCTATCTGAGTTTGCATCCCTGCCCTACCATTTACTAGCTGGGGGATTCCAGACAAATCACTGACCCTCTCTGAGCCTCAGCTTCCTCCTGGGTAAAATGGGTATCACCCCCAAAGGGGCCTAGCACTGCGGGAGTGATCTTGAGATGATTTCCATATCCTAGGAAAGAGCTTAGCTCAAGGCCTGGCACATTCCAAGAGTTCTAATAAATGGGTGCTCTTGAGCTAGATAGTTTTCGGAAGTTGTTAGGCTAATTGGCTCTTCATGTAACGTCATGTAAGTCATCTAAGTGTTCTCATGGCCTGGGCCCACCTCATCACAGCTAAGGCTGAAAATGTACTTTTCCTTTCCTTTTCTTTCAAGTTCCTTCACATGAAAGGCCTGTGTGAACTCTCTGACCTTTTCTAACGGGGAGACCCTTGAAATGTGGCATTTCCAGAAAACAACTCAAAGGAGCCCCAGAGGGGTTTGGTAAATTACAACGGGGAGAGGTTGGAGCGGCATCTCTTCCTGCCCGTCAGCCCGCCTGGCATCCTGTCGGGACATGCCGAGCACAGCCTGGAGGCCTGGCTGCTGGCTCTGGGCAGGAACACTTCCCGTGTGAGCCTTTTCGCTCAGGGCAGAGCCTGGCCACACATCCTAGAGGCAGACTGTGGTTTGTTACTAGAAACACAGTGTGCTCTCTGGAAACTGTGTAGTTTCACTGTATGTTCATGTGTGTGTGTGAGTGTGTGTGTGTGTGTGTGTGTGTGTGTGTGTTTGCATGTAGGTGGCTGTGGCCTGCAGAATGGCAGACACACAACTGTTGTGATATGACTACTCTGGGTCAGGTACCAGTCAGCTGCCTTCAAAATGAAGCAAGGGATAGGGTGGACCTTGCTGGCTCAATCTGTAGAGCGTGCAACTTTTGATCTTGGGGTCTTAAGTTCAAGTCCCATGTTGGGTGTAGAGATTACTTAGATAAATAGGTATTTTAAAAAATAAAATAAAATGAAGCAAGAAGGGTTTGGGGTCATTTTTTTCCTTCTTTA